TGGACCAATAATGTATTAATTAATTTCACATGTTTGAGATGTAAATATCGATTTTAATGTTCGTATGAAGTTACTCGGTAAGTTCTCTGCCCTTTCCAATAACCTTTCAACGTGTTTAAACTTTATTTCTTTTTTAAAACGAGGACGTACGGTTTATGACTTCACAGACCTCTACAGACTGAAATGTGGCAACATCGCAAAAGTGCACGTGCTTGTCAAAGGTAATCATAACTTGACAATCTTCTGACTAGAAGTTGTAGGAAAGTACAATACACTAATGTAATCTGCTTTGAGCCATTTGCATTCCGTATTTCCAAACTTTTCAAATTTCAGCCAACACACTAACAACAGTGACACACAAATGACAGCGAGTACCTCCTTTTGATAAGCGTTGTTGCCTTGTCGTGACTATTTCTGCCAACCCTGTCCTAATTGGTCTAACATAATTTGGCGCAACATTTGAAAAATCCAACTTTAAAAATTTTTTTAGGCATAAAAATGAAATTATTTTTGTATTTTTTTTTTAATTTCACTAAATTGCTTCCAACGGCTTATTACATTTGTCTGAAGCAAAGTTGAACTTCATGCAAGTAGCGTATTGGATGCCATTCTGGGCTAAAATTACTTAACAGATAAATTTTTTGTTCGAAGTAGGGTCAACGTTTCCACCGCATAATGTGAGGTATCCAGAGTTTGCAAAAATATTATGGGCATTTGATGTTGTTTGTATACTGGGAGTAATAATTTTTTTAAACACTCATAAAATCGGAAACTTCGGCATTTATGCTCACTTAGTCACAAATACGAAAGATTTCTTCTCACAAAAAAATTGCCTGGGATACCGCAATTTTCTGGTCCAATTTCCCAACAGAAATGGTTTTATCAGTGCCTTCAGATATGCTAATTTGTTAATGACTTAATTGCGATTTAATTTTTAACCCCGCGTTGAAGTACCATGTGACCGACTCTACGCCAATCAGACGTCGCTAATGGCCTTGTTAAATGCGCGATCAACTTAATCTCAGTTAAAATATTGTATAAACCGGCCCTAAATTGTTATTCTTTATTTTTGTACTGAGTTACTAAAAAAAAATTAATGTTAAAATTATCCAAACAAATTTAACATATTTTTTGGAAAACAAAGGAACTTTAGTTATTCCTTTTATTAAAATAAAACAAATTTTTAAGGTAGTCGGGGAAATAAAAAAAAAACACACTGTCGCATTTATAAACCGGTTTTAGCAAAGCCGAACAGTCGGCCGACTAGTCGGTTTTTACTGGCCGAACAATCGGCTAGTCGGTTAGTCGGCCAGACCTACAGGCGGTACATCTCTATTTTAAACTTCTTTAAAATTAATTGTTACTGTATTACCGTAGAGCAAATTGCCTTAAACATATGCACTACTGTGGGAAACAATTGAAACAACGATTGGATTTGGTATACCCACTACATCGGTGACAATGGCGTTCAGACGACATTGAAAGGTTCAGAACTCCTAGGAGATGTTTTCTAGAATAATAAGAAATGTTGTTACTCAAGGAGAGAATTACGATGTAATTGTAGTTTCCGTGACGCAAAGACCTTCCTAGGTATGCTGCTCATCGATTGAAAACACGTTGAGTTCACGCAGTGATTTTATTTGGTAAATAAACTGGAAGGATTTGCTTATGGTAAGACGGAATAACTGGAGGAATTAATGTTATTAAAGGGAAATAATCAGATGAAAATATAGCTGTTTACATTTATTGAATAACAAGTGACATTTATTTGGTTTCCATTAGTTGTAATGTATTGTAGATTGTATTAAGGCCCAACATACTTCATTTAATGTTTGGCGACTGAAAGTTGCATAGTCCTAGTATTGAGACCGTTTACAATAGAATTCTTTTAATTTTGGCAAAGTGTTGTAAAACGGTATACTTCTCTGTCTGTATTCATTCGACACATTGTAGAGTAAACTCTTTGACTTTTATCCTAGTAAAATTGTTTGTCATATTGTAATGTATTTTTATATACGAGTACAAGATTTTTATAGACAACGTAAATTGTCGTTCTTGTTGATTGATATTCTAAAATGTTACACTTTACCTTCAACAATATGTTTCAAATAAAATAAATTTTAAAATTAATTCCGTTCGGATTATAATTGCTTGTATAAGTTAAGGAATAAATTACAGTTTTTTTTTTGAGCCGTTGTAACAAGTGACTATATTTTCTTTCGCGTATTTTTTAAACAATAAACATTTAAGAGCATATGTAACGTCGTGCAAGTTCACATTTAATTTTAGAAAAATGGATTTACCCCTTGTTTAACTTTGACTTTGAAAGTGTTAATTAAGAAATCTTTCATTTGTTTTGAGCATATTTACAAAGCTGTTGATATTGAAATAATTTTGCCGTTTTTAAACTTGACTTTTTTTTCGTTAGCGCATTTTAACAGTTGTTATTTAAAAAAAAAATATGGTGCACCATATACCGGGTGTCCCACGTAACACTTTCGGGCGCAATAAGTCAGGTATTTTTGAACGGATTGTTATGAAATTTGAAATGTAGGTATTTTGATAGGTGACGATTAAGATGAACCAGTGAAAATAATCATTATCTTGAAAAAGTAAATTTTCCATGCCTTAATTTAATTTTGAATTAATTAAGTTTTGCATCACTTGATTAAACATGAAAAATAAATACTGTATGCAAAAATTCATCTCCGAAATACATTTGGTTAGACAAAAAACGATAAATTATTGCGCAAATAATTCCAAAAAGTATTAAAGAATATGTAGCTATGGAACAAAAAACTGCTATCCTCGCATTTTGGACACCCTTGCGGGAATTTGATACCTGTTTGCCAAGCGTTATTTGTATCCGTATTGTGAAGCATATTGTAAAAATTTCACGTTTCAACAGATTTATTATTTTTCGAACAAAAGTACTCTTTTGTAGAAATTTGTGTAAAAACTAGTATTTAATATGCGAAATCCCGTTTAAAATCAGCCTTTCATACCTTGTCATTATTTGGGTTACTTCCTGTTTTCTTTAGCGTATCGTAAACGGCGTGCAACACCGTCGGTTTTTTATTTTCAATAGTATTTAGGTAGTCTTTCACCACAATATCAAATACCAAATAATATGTTCCTCGCATTCCAAAAGTTTTTTGGCCGATGTTTGAATCATTATTTTTCGTGATTTTATTCTCCGCAATCATCATTTCCACTCTTCCAACAATTAACACAATAAAAATTAACGAAACTACGTGCTTCAACACCAGTATGAAAGTTTGAAAATGAAGCGGAATTTTCATGTCGCATTTCATCAATGCACATTTCATATCACCTTATTGTTCTTTTGGCAAGATAGGGATCCAATAGATGCTCAATACTGGATGCACGGTCAACATTTCATTTTAGCGCCTAAAATTTAGAGTCGGAAAACACAGGCATCACCTATTGCATTAAAGCGTAACTGCTTAACAAGCTCATAAGATAAGTATCAAGAGTAAGTTCGCTACGCTAAGTTTGTTTATTTCATACTATGTCAAATTTGACGTTTTACTGGATTCGAACGAGTCCGGTAAAATCAAAATAACGGACAAGTCCGGTAAAATTGTGCCAAAAAGGACAAGTCCTGTAAAGTGTTACTATGTTATTAATATTATATTATTATTAAAACATTTGCCAATCAGCGGTTGCTAACGATGTCAGAAAAAGTTACTCGATTTGAACTTTTTCTCAAAATAGTAATTATTTTATCGAATAGAAAAATATGTTCACAGTATGAAATAAAATCCATAACGGCATACGTCCGGTAACTCTTTTCTCAGTACTCGTTTCGAAATTCAAGAGTCGGCTCCCTACGGACGCCTCATCCCGAAACATCTTACCCGTACTGTAAAATTTGAGTTACCGGACTTTAATTACTATTGTTTAACATCAGAGGTGTTTTTCACTAACCAATTTTGAGTTCCTCGCCACTTGCTTTGAGAAGGGACGAATGTGATATATTTAACGATATTTTCATTATCCATGTAAATTGTATTTATAAAAGTTGTAGATTACACGTTGAATTGTGCCTAATGTCTGTAAAAAAAAAGTAAATATAGGGACCCAGTAGAGTATAGTCGGGAGGATCAAATAGTGAATATCAACTTTCTGTTTTATTGGAAAGCAATAATAAACTGCTTAGGATTATGGTAATGATTATTTACAACACTGAGCTCTCTAATTGAATGAGCAACAACGTTCAATTTGATCCTTTCGAATATTTAACCCAAAAGCAAGCAAACGTTGTAAATCATCACTGCTACAATCCTGAACCAAAGAATATTGCCAAAAATGTTCATTCTTGTTGATACTCTCTCCTTGAACAGTTTATTGGAGGCTTCTAGGCACTTTTGGAAACAAAAAAGCATTGCAGGTCGTGTCGGCCGTGAAATTATGTGTAACGTTCGAATTAACTACAAACGTTTTTACTTGTTTTTCTTTAACTCACATTTATTTTGCTATTTGATCTAGGATTCTCAACAATTGTTACTTCATTCTTGTAAGGGGTGCACAAAATGCAAACGTCGAATTCGATTGTGTCTCACAACCGTGCGTGCATACTTAACGCCGTCTTTCAAAAACTGAAAATTTAAAAGATTGGTCAATATTTTTCAAAAATCCTAAACTGTTTCAATGTACGATTTTTTCATGCAATATTTTTATATTTTAATAAATAATATCGTTATTAAGTAAGGTCATAACAACTAATAAAAAAAAGAAAGATGAAAATGTGCGCTAAATGTTTGTAGGGCATTTAGTAAATTATAATATTATTTGCTAAATAGCGTTCCCGATTTTAGTAATTTATAAACAAAAAACATTGTCAGAATTTAATCAAGGGCACAGTTTATTTTCTGAATGGTGTTACTTCAAAATGTAAAGGATTTTCATCTTACATACAATATAGAAATAGCGGTGATGTTTTGTTTATTGTAAATAACGTTATATTTGTTGTCCAGATTCGACTTGCCGTCAGTGGTTGCGTGTCAACTCACAGTGTACTTATTACTGAAGAGGGAAAAGCATTAACATTTGGACGTAATAAGTTTGGTCAGTTGGGTTTGGACCATATTGAAACAAAGGAAGTTCCAACTGTAGTTCCAGTGTTAGAAAATATACACATAATTAGTGCAGCCTGCGGTCGCAATCATACGCTCTTTCTGACCGACACAGGTACTGTGTATGCATGTGGTGATAACCGCTCAGGTCAGTGTGGTGTCGGAAATCTACAACCCAATATCTTAACTCCTACTCGGATTAATTATAGAGGACCACCAATTGTGAAAGTAGGTTGTGGAGCAGAATTTTCGCTAATTCTGGATATAAAAGGTGGTTTACATTCCTTTGGTTTGCCTGAATATGGTCAGTTGGGCCATAATACTGATGGCAAATATTTCAAGACAACCACCAAGCTTTCTTTTAATTTTGAAACTAGCCCCAAACGTATTGTATTATACATTGAGAAAAGCAAAGATGGCCATGTAGCTCCAGTAGATGTAACTGAAATCGTTGATTTCAGTTGTGGACTTAATCATACGGTCGCAATTGATAGCAAAAAAAGAGCTTTTTCGTGGGGATTTGGTGGTTTTGGTCGTTTAGGTCATGCTGAAACTAAAGATGAACTTGTCCCACGATTAATAAAATATTTTGACACCCAATCGAAGGGAGTCCGATCTGTATATTGTGGTTCCACTTACAGCCTCGCTGTAACCGATTTTGGAGCATTATTTATGTTTGGTCAAACCAAACGTACAGGAGAAGCCAATATGTATCCAAAACCTATTCAGGATCTCACTGGTTGGTCTATCAATCACGTTGGAGCGGGGAACACATCAGTTATTGTATCTGCCGACGACTCTGTCATATCTTGGGGTGCAGCACCAACATACGGTGAGTTGGGACTAGGAGAGCTCACCAAATCATCTACAAGTCCAAAAGAGGTAACGAATAATCACTTGCTATTGCAGATCTAAAATGCAACATTTGTAGGTTTCAAGGTTACAAGGAGTTAAGGTAATATCCTTGTCGATGGGATTTGGTCATACGTTGCTTCTAGCACAAAATGAGACATCGGAACAGAAAGCGAAGCTGGACACTTTCGATCTTTATGAACCATAACTCATTTCAGGAAACATATATGTAACATATGTACTCCATCTTAGAATATATGTACTACAACTGCCCTTTTTGATTTCCTCGTTTTTTTTTAGATATAGCATTTATACTTCAGTATTTTTATATTATATTATTATTTACGTAGAGTCCGTCTGATGTATGTAATTTAAATAAATTTTTGTATCAGTTTCGATATTTCAATAAACATTTATAGAATCGGTAGTTTTACTTTTTTAGGTAGAAACATGAATTTATTTTATCGTATTAACTCTAAAACAAAATCAGTTTTATAGTAATTTTAAACGTAGCCTTTAGATTTTTGCAATATTTGCAATTAATTTCATTCAGTTTACTCTAAATTTTTCTATGTATATTGCTTTGTTAGTAATACGTCGTTCTTAAATTCAATTTTTTATTAAGATTAAGTTATTGCAATTTCATTATCATTGTATGTTTTACATGCTCGAAGGAATTAGAAACTGTTCTTTTCTGGGGAGGGGCTGTTGATTTTTTCGCTGTATTCTGTTTCATTTGTCCTCTATACCTAACATGCATTTTGCAGTTTGCAAACCGTTGGTTTGATGCTCTTATTTTCTCGGCCCGCGGTTTACACGTGTTTATGTTTTAATAGTTAATTTTTCATAATTTCTATGTAGTTATAAGTCCTAGCTATTGTATTCGTTGGAGGTGGATATTGGATACTTGATTGGGTTATTACAATTTAAATTAATGAATTCTTAAATATCCCTTAGAAAACATTAAAGACGCACCCAGAAAAACAATCTCAAAACCATCTTTGATAATTTATAGCATTAAAAAAAATTAAACTAGTTAATATTTTTGTGTAACAACATTGACGTAATGTCAGATACTATCCTGTTAAAATTGAAGTAAAATTTGGAAAAAAGATTCACCTTAGTTACAACCTAAAAGAGATTCTAATGAATAATGATACAGTTTTGTGTAGCAACAAAAAAAAATCAACAAAACAAACAATGACACCTTAAAGTCTGAAATTGATTAAGATTCGCTGCGAGGTACGACGTGCAGTCTCTATCTTCGTGCAAATATAGCTGATTTCTACACTAATTGTGTTACGTATGAGCTAAGAACAATCCCGATTAAACTAGCTTTCATATAAAAAAAAAACGTATTGAAATTGGTTCATCCGTTTGGGGGATACAGTGCCACAGACAGACGGGAGGTTCAAAGTTACAACACCCCTCTTTTTGGGTTAAAGATTAATGGAATGAACTCTCTCAGTTAAGATGTCTGTAACGCTAACTCACACACCTTCATTCATCTGTCAAAACATATAATGAATTTGACGGCACTTTTTGGACCACCCGAATGTGCTGCGTCTTCAACGGTTGTTTCTCCGCGCTTGAGTCATTAATCCAAAGACCAGTGGCTGCATAAGAAGAACGTGCACGTTCCAATGTAGAAAAAGTACTTTCATGGATATCTCTCGCAGTAATTCCTTCCAAAAAGAAGAACTGAATCACACCACGAATTGCAATTTTCTCCATCAGTCGATACACTAGTGTTCAGTTAACTTCTAAATGAAGAATTATTAACAGAATGACTTGACAGTATAGAAGCGTCATTTATAGGAAACCTACTTGAAGTCTACAGACACAGTTACTGCTTTTCTTCTTTGACCCTCCAAGACTATGGAAACTCATACTGTTAAGAAATGAATTCGATAAAAATATCGTAAAGTCCCCATACAACCAAAAAAGGAGAACCCGATTGAGTGGTTTGTTGATATCAGTTCCATAATTACCGTTGGGTATATACATATAATATACATATGGTTGATCGATAGCGTGGCAGTACAAGGGCAAAATATTGTGCGCACGCATAATTAACTAGGCCAGTGACTACTTACACTATAAAAGCCCTCAGACAACTGAGTTTAAGGTCGGAAAAAATTCGACGGAACGGTTCTTCGACCACGTGACGACGGTGGCTTGAACGCTAGAATTCGGGCTTTTTGGTACTCGCGCGACAAAGGGTAGGTCGCCTTACAAAAGGGCGTACCTATTTACAGCGTGAAGACCGAATTTCAATGCTTGATTGTATTTCCAATCACTTCTTGTTTATGCTTCTTCCCCTCAATTTCTTTCTGCGTCTGTTCTGGTGAACTTACAGCTGAAAAATCCAACTCCAGTACTTCATCTGTAGCAACATCAACTCCCAGAGTATAGGCCACTCAACATTTACTAAGCAAGCCAGTGCGCTGATTGGGTGATGGAATGTCGCTGGAAAAAGACGAAACTCTGCGAAGCTGCCGGCAACAATCCTTCTAGTACTACTACAGGTATTCTATTGCTATCTTTTTAAAAATCACATAGAAACAGCAAAAGAGACACTGAAGAGATTGTTTTCTGTCTGTACAAGCACCAACGCCTGTGCGCATGTACTTGAAATAAATAAAATGTCGCACGCTACAAATTTTTATTATTGCGTTAAGGGAGTGGGTATAAACATTAACCGTGAATTTATTTGGAAAAAGTAACTAATTTGTTTGCAACTTTTTATGTTCTAGTCACTTCATCATTTAGTTACAACCATGGTACAGGAAGACAGGGTATGCTACTCCGGTGGATGAATTTTCGTCTGCTTTGCGCATCAACCACGTGACGTCAAATTGCCTTGAAACACGGTTCTAGAATAAATAGGTTAAAGAATATATGAATATGTATAACTATTACATTCATTCGTCCATGGTTAATTGCCATTTACAAAGCACTGTATAACAAATTCTCCAAAGTAACTAGAATGATTTTGTACTACACTGTAGAGGCGCTAAATGTAAAGTGTTTCTAAAGATATTTGGAAACAGAGTTAATAGTTATTTATATATCAAGGGAGCAAAGTGAAACATTTCCTCCCGCGGATTCAAGTTGACGCCCGACGCGTAGCAGAGGGCCTTAAGAATCCGAGGGAGGAAATGGCAGTTTGCTCATGTGATATATATCTATATATAATTTTTTCTTCGAACGAACGTTTAAAATCAATTTCATAAAAGTTTAAATGAAAAAACTATTACCGCAATAAACTAAGTCATCTAGATAGTTTCTATGACAATTTTCAAACAAATAAAAAATTAATCGCATTTGAACAAAGCGTCTCGTAAATTGTAGTTCTGTGTTCCTTAAAACGCATTAATTTAGGAAAAAATGGAGGATTTGGATGAAAAAGTAGTGCTTCAGATAATAATTGTACCCTCCAGTCGTTTTAGAAGTAGCAAGTTTATAAATTTATAAACGCCATTTTTGACAAAAATGTACTTTACCTCCCGGCGGGAGCCCAAATAGTTTACCTCCCGCCGGGAGGTTCCTCTCTGCCGACCGCCGACCACAGGCAATTTGCCGCACTTTCTAAAAGTAATAATATATCTACTAGTGACTTTAGCAGTGTTCGGGCGCCAGCTCCTCTCTAGGAAGGGAGCACCGGAGTGGCTCTAAAGCTGGAGACACGGATCTCGAGGTGGTCTCGTGACCGCCCACGGAAACAAGAAATAAAACGGAGGAAATTTTCTAACAATAATCGGGTTTTTATCTCCTGCCACCCGCTACACAGCTAAAATAATCTTATGGAGTCTGTTATTAACATTTCGAGATTTTGCTGTCACTTAAAAATTGTCGCTATCATTCATAGAAAAAAAAAATTGGTGTAAAGAGTTCAGATAGTACTTCCCTCGCTGTCGGAAACGTGACGACTGCATGCCTATTATGTTTTTTTTTTCGCAATAGATTTCAATGCATTCGGTTTTGTAGTTCCTGAGTAAATCAATAAAATAAATTTACGCATTCACTATTTTTGTTTGAGTCACTCGCTATATGCAAAGTCAAAAAAATATGAATGGGATGATAAATTACAAGTACAAACCTTAGATTATATAATAAATAGATATCAATACTCAAACTGAAAGCTGTGACTAGACATGGAGCTATCTGTTGTCGTTTTCTACGCCAAGGGGAGTAGTATAATGCTGTCCTTGAGTAATCACCACATCTTCATCTTTGTTATATGCATTTCATCTGTATATGTCTATTTCACTTCCATCCTTGTACCGCACCAGCCCAACAAATCGCTTTTGACAGATGTTTCTTCTAACCTCTCTTTCGAGTTCTTGTACGAGAAACAATTTTAGAATTTAGAACAAAGATCCTATTTTAAGTGATGTAATCATAACGGATCACAATTGCTGCCCAATAATTTACTATTCCTTTCGTTATCTCCTGTGAATTATTTATAAAATCAAGCTGTCAACATCTTTCGTACGAAGTTAGTTCAGACATACTTCCTAAAATTTAGGCGCGCAAAATTCAAATAGTGATCAGGCAAGGATAGCTTCATTGTAATCCCTCCATGCACAAGAGAGACGTGTGACAGGAGGATGTCGTCACAGGCTCTCTTAGGGAAAGAACACGGCGTGTTGGTATCTATTTATTATATGATCTAAGGTACAAACTCATCATATTTTCTACATTCTAGATAGGATTTATTCAGCAAACTTTCTCAATCAGTTTTTTGGAGAAGATAACCAAATATATTTTGACTAAAAATTTATTATACACTTTATAACTTTAAAACATCTGCAAGATTTCAAAACATTCGGTTCTGTAGTTCCTGATTAAGTCAATAAAATTCATTTACCCATTCATTATTTTTTTGGGTCACTTGTATATGCAAATCGAAAAAATATGAACGGAATGATAAATCACAAGAAGAGACTCATCATATTTTGTACATTTTAGATAGGATTTATTCAGCAAAATTTTGTGGGTACGTCATACATTTTTTAGGGGGGGGGGGGTGAGCAAATACATTTTGATCAAAAACTTACCACGCTTATGATAACTTGAAAACATCTTCAAGACTTCAAAGCATTCGGTTTTGTGGTTCCTGAGTAAATCAATAAAATAAATTTACGCATTCATTAAGTTTTTTTAGTCACCCTGTATATGCAATTCCAAAAAATATGAATGGCATGATAAATCACAAGTACAGACTCATCATATTTTGTACAGTTTAGATAGGATTTATTCGGCAAACTTTCGAGCTAACGTGATAAATTTTTTGAAGGGGATAAGCAAATATATTTTGACTAAACATTTATTATGCTTTTTATAACCTTAAAACATCTGCAAAATTTCAAAGCATTCGGTTTTGTAGTTCCTGATTAACTCAATAAAATAAATTCACGCATTCATTATTTTTTTTGAGTCACCTGTATATGCAAATCGAAAAAATTTGAATGGAATGATAAATCACAAGAAGAGACCCACCATATTGTGTACCTTTTAGATAGAATTTATTCAGCAAAATTTTGTGGTGTCGTCATAAATTTTTTAGGGGGGACGACCAAATACATTTTGATCAAAAATTTACCATGCTTATGATAAAAACATATTTAAGATTTCAAGGCATTCGGTTTTGTAGTTCCTGAGTAAATCAGTAAAATAAATTTACGCATTCATTAATTTTTTTGAGTCACCTTGTATATGCAAATCCAAAAAATATGAACGGAGTGATAGATCACAAGTACAGACTCATCATATTTTGTACATTTTAGATCGGATTTATTCGGCAAACTTGAGCTGACGTCGTCAAGTTTTTGGAGGGGATAATCAAATATATTTTGACTAAAGATTTGTGATGCTCTTTATAGCTTTAAAACATCTGCAACATTTCAAAGTATTCGGGTTAGCAGATTTAAAATTAAATTGCAAAATGTTGTTTTATAATTTTGATTTTTTTTTCCAAAAATCTGGACGTTTCGGGTAAAAACTCAATTCGGAGTCGTAAACTACATGTGTAGGACTATGTTATTTTATACAATTTAAAACCCATTTACTATGTACAATTTTGAAGTGACGTCATCGCATTAGTGGTGGGGATGATTAGACAAATTTTGGTTAGCGTTTTACCATCTACATGATATTCCTAATATAAGTACAAAATTTCACAACAATCGGTCCAGTACTTTCGGAGATTATCTGTCTAATAAAAATCCGGGACGGCAGACAGACGGAAATGGGAGACCTATTTCTTCGTCTTCTAGGGGTCATGAAAGATCGAGAAAACATACAAGTAGAAAGTCAGCCGACGGACTCGATTACAGTACTTCCTTTGCTTACGCTCGGGAAGTAAAAATGGAAGACAATAACACTAAACGCCAAGGAAACACATTTGTAAACATCGTTTAATAAAATGGTTACAGTTATTTATTTCATACTGTGTCAAATTTGACGTTTTACTGGATTCGAACGAGTGCGGTAAAATCAAAATAACGGACAAGTCTGGTAAAAATGAGCTAAAATGGACAAGTCCTGTAATAGTTATTTACGTGGCAAACTTATAGTAAATTAGCGTTTACGGACAAGCCGGAATGTTTGCATATAACCCCAACGTGCATTAAACCCAGCGTGCATATTTGGCTGCCTATGATTAACGATTTGTTTTTGTGATTGCATTTTTACTTCTCGAGCGTAAGCAAAGGAAATATTGTAATCGAGTCCGTCGGCCGACTCTCTACTTTTACGTTTTCTCGATCTTTCATGACCCCTAGAAGACGAAGAAATAGGTCTCCCATTTCCGTCTGTCTGTCCGTCTGTCTGCCGTCCCGGATTTTTATTAGACAGATAATCTCCGAAAGTACTGGACCGATTGTTGTGAAATTTTGTAGTTATATTAGGAATATCATGTAGATGGTAAAACGCTAACCAAAATTTGTCTAATCATCCCCACCACTAATGCGATGACGTCACTTCAAAATTGTACATAGTAAATGGGTTTTAAATTGTATAAAATAACATAGTCCTAAACATGTAGTTTACGACTCCGAATTGAGTTTTTACCCGAAACGTCCAGATTTTTGGGAAAAAAATCAAAATTATAAAACAACATTTTGCAATTTAATTTTGAATCTGCTAATCCGAATGTTTTGAAATGTTGCAGATGTTTTAAGGCTATAAACAGCATCATAAACCTTTACTCAAAATATATGTATTTGGTTATCCCCTCCAAAAACTTTATGATGTCAGCTCAAAAGTTTGCCGAATAAATCCTACCTAAAATGTACAAAATATGATGAGTATGTGCTTGTGATATATCACTCCATTCATATTTTTTAACTTGGCAGAAAATGTGACTTCGCCTGCGCGATGTTGTTTCACTCTGTATCATTGGAATTTATATAATATCTACTCACTTTGCTTACAATATAAGGGGCAATTGGCGTCGCTGATAAGGGATATTATGGTATACGAATATGTGCTACTGTATCAACCAAAGACTTCAAATATATATAGACTGGCTGTCACCCTAAATTCTATTGTATTTCGTGAAGCAGTTGTGTCAACAGAAATCGCCGCCATTGCTGTTACTTTTGTGTCACTAATAATAACACCGCAACAACCCATACACATAACCTATTTCTTTCTTATGTATCACTTTCAGTTGTGACGTGGGTGTAATCACAGTTTCTTTGGTTCTTTTGATCGTGTTTCCGTGCATTTAAGATTCAGCAATTATAGTACTGTTGAAGTTTATTAGTTTGTGTGTGTATGGTGTGCAAACTCACTATTCATATGAAGTCGATTGTATACGATTCTAAACTTCCCGCGGTTTCGGTCACATCCAAAATGGCGACCGGTTAGCTTCAGCTTTTTCGTTCTATCGCCGGTCTATATATTTGAAGTCTTTGGTATCAACTACAATCGTGCTCCTGTCATTCTACCTTTGTGCTGTCAACTGTTCTGTCAACAGTGTCAATTTTGACAATAGATGCCAATTCTACCAACTTCAAGTAAAATTTGTTCTTAAAATACCAACTAAAACAGTAATTGTTGATATCAGCCTGTATCATTTAACAAGTCAGGAAACTCCGAATGCAGAATGGTATTTTTTCAAAGGTATTGTCCGAGGGCGTACTTCCTTACATCTTACATTATATTGCTATCTTTAAAAAAAAGATTAACAACTAAAACTTTGTTGTATTGTCTTTGCCATTTCTATTGAAACACCACCTGTTGATTTTGCATAAAATTTAGCAATTGGCAACAGCTTTCGGTTGATTGACAACGGCTTGTATTTAGAAAATTGTCTGAATATGAACGTTGCCAAATTTACGATTAACAAGTGGTGTTTCAATAGATATGGCAAATACTATAGTTTCCTATCGCCGCAACTGTACATTTTAACAATCAATTTTATCGAAATAAATTACTCATATTTTCAGTGGAAATATCACTTGGATTTTGATAAATCTCGTAGGGTTCAGCCTGCGTTTGCAATGTAAGCGGAAAAAATGTAATTATTTACGACATCACATTAGAAACCTCAAAAATAACAGTATTTCTCTACTATATAATGGATGTTATTATACATATAAAGTCGCGATCTTTTCTATGGAACCACTCCCTAGTGTAAATTTTCAAAATTTGTTTAGTGTAAGTGGCCTTGACGGGTTTCTGGGGGAAAACATATGTGTCAAAAATTTGACAGGTTAGATGGCCCCATTGTCAATGTAGATATTCTATTTTAATAAATAGATGAACAGAACATACAGTCTGCGCGGGATACAGTGCGGCATAAATGAGGGCAACCGAAACATTCGTGTTGTGCTAGTTTCGATTGCCATATCAACTACCGCTACCAACCGCGTTCGACATAAAGTACTGGATGACAGGGCTACCAACTTGACTTTTTATCGAGTGGTTCCGTAGAAATGACCGCTACTGTAAACCTTTCTTTTGAATCACTCTATCTACTAAAAAAAACCGCATCAAAATCCGTTGCGTAGTTTTCAAGATCTAAGCATACATAGGGGCAGAAAGCGACTGTGTTTTTGTTTTATACTTATCTTGAATGGCGGGTGCAAACTTCGAAATTTTTAACCATCCAACCCATCAAACCACCCCCCCTCGATTTTTGCCTGTAGCGGCCTGCAGTGGAATTTCCGACGACATGTAGCGGAATTTTATCATTTAACTCTGGCAACACTGTTTATAGTGATATTTGTGGTGTTAACGTTGTTGCAGTTGGTATTTCTATGGTTGGTATTTAAATCGAAAAGTCGTTGAAATGTATTAATGGTAGTGTGTTAATGTGCGTTAATTTTTAATGTTGACTTATTGGTTAGGGTTAGCTGTTTGATTTCATACGGAATATTAAGAACAAAAATATTTCAAAGCGAGCTGCGAAAAACTAAAGGCAAAACGTCATAAGAAGGTACCGATATATAGTCTACGTCGCTGTTTTTCTACCGGATTTTGACAGAATTGATTCTACCAACAGCTCAATTGTTACAGACTACAGTTTTAAAGCATAGAAAACGTCAAATACGAGGCAAATGGATTTTGATCTTAGTAAAGAAAATATTCAACCCCTTCGAGGAGGACGAAACGTTTCACAACTGGGTATAGCTTTGCAAGCACAGACTGACTTGGAGCATCAAAAAGAACTAATACACAAAAGAGAGTAAAATACTTCATCCAACGTTAAGGTTATACACACATTAATAAACTATATTTATTTGTAGGGAATATGAGAAATTAATAAGAACATATAGTGGTGATGATCCACTAGAAAACTGGTATAATTATATTGCATGGGTGGAACAAAGTTATCCAAAACAGGGACTCGAGGGAAATTTGAATTCCTTACTGGAACATTGCTTGAAGTTGTTTGAAAATGATAGTCGCTATAAAGATGACCGTAGACTTTGTAAATTGTTTATCAAATATGTATGTATGTTTTAATAAGTTTACTATAAAACTACAATCTAATTTTTGCAGATTGATCAGCAACAAAATCCGTTAGAACTTTATCACATGATGTATGCACAGGGCATTTGTAGAAGTTGCGCTGATATGTATAAAGCTTGGGCATATTATTATGAAGCCGCAAGTGATTTTCAAAATGCGCATCGTATATTTGAATGTGGGAAACGAGAGCTTGCACATCCATATGAAGAACTACAAAATGCTCATGAAAATCTCGTGATAGCTGCTGGACATCACGTAAATTTTTTTTATATATTTTTTATGAAGCACTGTTGATGTTTCTTATTTTAGATAATTTATGGACCAAACGAAAGAGATCTAACAGAAAAACGTCAAGCCCTCACATCTCTTAAAACTTATAAACAAGGCCAAGTGGGCAGTGTTCGAAGCACAAGTAGTTCTCATCCTGGAAGTTTCGGTAATTTCTATTTTGAATATCTAATGTTTTTTGATATCATAAAACTTTGTGTAGTGATCAATTTTGGTAGTTCGGTTATTGATCTACTTACTGTTGAAAGTTATAATATCCTTACCTAATTTGTCAAATTTTATTAACACTAAAGTTGTTCTGTTCTTCTTTCAAAAAAAAAAAAGTTCAATATGCTTATATGCGCATCGTAGTTTTACATTAATTGTTCAAAATTATACATTAAAAAAGTGCTTTGCCAACATGAATCGATATCTAGCATATATGTACGTTAATATAGCGTTACTAAATATTAACTGTGGTATTTTATTACAATTGGAAAAAAAAGACTAAACATACTTAACGTTATGGTATTTTTGACATGCGTTGTACGAAAACTGTCCATTAAAAAAAAAAGATCAAAAGCTGTGTTAAAATTTTTGATTCGCACTCATGCCGTAAAAGTTGCAAGCAGATTAGCTCCAGTAATTTTGAAACGCTGGTGATTCCTGTTTATTTTCAGAGATATTCAGGCAGTTAAAGATGTGGAAGAATGCCTATTTCAAGCGTAAGCTAAGGAAGTATAGTAACGAGTCCATCGTTACTTGGCCACTTTTTTAATAGGAACCATTATATCATTTTGAGTGCACGCTAATCATATAATTGTGTGCCCAAAATTTCAGGAAAATTCAATGCCCTTTTACTGAGATTCATTACCCCCTTTTCTGTTATAATTATTATATTAAATTTGTTGCTTATTTTTAAAAGATGGACATTTTGAAAGACATGAGTCAATTAATTCTAGTTATTACCCTATTTTAATTATTCATAAGTTGTGAAAGTAAAAACAAATTAGTAATAAACGTTGGATAAATGATAGGATTTAATGTTCTAAAGTCTAAAGTGAATTTTCATGTTAACTACACCTAAAGTTAAAATGTTATGTTGCATGTGTAACGTAGTAATATTTATTCAGTTATACTTTAAATGACCTCATTTGTTTCTAGAAAGGGTTAAGTAAAAAAAAGGTTATGTTTGACCATTTTTTATGATCCCAAAATACTCCTAAAATTTCAGAGTAATTGTTTGGTGATTTCGTCAAGTTATAATAATTCATTGATAGTTCAGGCAATTCACGAGATACATTTAAATAGCCTAGAGTACGGAAAAATAGGTCTCCCGCGTCCGTCGGTCTGTTGTCTGTGTCGATTTTTAGTTGATATAATAATTATAATCTCCGAAACTACCTGACCGATTTTTCTCAAATTTTATACAGGGTCATTCACGAAGAGTCTGATTTAGCGCTGTGTTTTCCGCAACCTAGATTATTTAGTCACAGGACGTTTCACAGTGTTTCATTTCAATTTATTTTTTTGCAATCAAAGTTATCCAATTTTGGAAAACGTCAAATTGAAGTGTGTCGAATTAATAATTTTTTAAAATATGTATTTTCTAACTACGGAAAGGTTGGCATGCTCTTAGTTTATGGTGAATGCAGCTTTCAGTTTTTTCGCTAAACATCCAAATTTTCGCAAAAACATTTGCAAGGTATAATAACGTTATGTTCCTAACACGAAATATAAGTCTTCGTGGCGCAGTGGCTGTATCGGGGAGAACGGTCACCTGCGGTTGTGGGTTCGATACGGAATTTGGCTGTTTACTTTTTTCTGGCATTGGTAATACGCTGTGACTACTTTTCTTTTGTGATGTGACTAGTATTAACCATGTTGATGACGTCATCACAAATTTTTTATTGGTCAAATTAAGAACGAGTCACCCCATTTTCTCGAAAATGTGAAGAATTCGCACGTCTATAGCTATAATGAAATAAGAATTATAACATTTAGAACATTTTGTTCGATTGTGGTTTAATTAATAATTTTAGTCCTCTGTTTTGAGACGACGAACTCATTCAAATCAAACTAATTTGTACATGACATTATTTCGATGTATAAATATAAATAAACACTTGAGCTTCAGACTGCTATCACCTAGTGCTTAAGGACATACTATGATCAAATAGTAATAATAATAATCATATTCAAAACATTTTGTTCCATTATGATGTGGCGGCACAATAACAGGTAGATAAGCGAAGAAAGATAAGCAGCCTGCATGGTCTAGTGGTAAAGGCACCTGCCCGGCAATTGGGAGACGTTGCTTGGTCTGGTGGTAATGGCACCCGCCCGGCAAGTGGAAGACGTATGGTTCTGTTCCCACTGCAGCAGCACATTTTTCTTCGCTTGTCTGCAATGGTTTAATTAATAATTTTAGTCTTCTGTTTTGAGGAGACAACTCATTCAAATTAAACAAATTTCTACGTGCCATTCTTTCGATGTATAAACATAAACAATCTAAGTTAAGCCTGTACACTGATAATAATACACCCTCTTTCGTTGGTTATTTGCTTCGAATATATTTCATATTGTCCGTATATCTTTGGATTTTTCACCCCCACGGCGTAGGAGCTTCGGGGTGTCATTTACACCATTGATTTTTGCTTTATAAAGGTTATCAGCAAACACAATTTTTTTGTAATTTTTCAAAGAAACGGAATTTGTTGAATTGTGCTTCAAGGGCGAGTGAAGTTTCTTGGACCAATTTTTTTAACTTGTAGGGATTGTAATAAAAAAATCGCAAAATTAAATTTTATAATTTTTCGAAGAAGCTATACTTGTTCGACTGTCCTTCAGGGGCAAGGGAAATTCTGTCTAAATGACCTTGACCAAGTTTATTTGGTCAAAATTAAAATTCAAGTAGCAGTTTTGTTAAACAACTTTAACCACTAATAATTATTTTGTAGGCTCGGCAGTTGACAGTCGTAATAATGTTGCAATATATGAAGATCGAAGTTGTTCTAATGTTCCAATATCTATCTATGAAGATCGAGGCGAAGAAGTCCGGGGTGCCGAGGCAGGTCCAACCAGTATTATAACTGCAGCGAAAAGACAGGAAGTCCCTAAAGAAAATACTCTTAAACCTGGTCCGTGGACCACAGTACCAATCAAACAAAAACAAGCAGTCCAAAGAAGTACACCACGATTTACAGGTGTGTATCTGTGGTGAGTTTAGATAGAATGTGCTTTAAGTAAATAGTTTTGAATAAACGTGCATTTACAAGCTTGCAATATATTGCCGAAACTGTTACACCTCTTTAAGTGATTAATCGATATTATCTGATAGAGTAGTTGTAGCATAATAATAACTTTCTTTAATTTGAAGGAGACTATTTTGTAAACAAAAAGTAATAATATTGACATTTTTATTTCTACTACCAGTTAGTTGAGTTGTCAATATATACTCTAATCATCAGTTGTGATTGTTGAAAATTTGCAATATGTAACTCCACTATGTTAGAATTGTTCAACATATGCAGTGATCGCATGAAAAGTGCATGAACAGTCCATGTTAAAGCCCAATTGATTCAACTGAGATTTGAGTCACGTGTTGTCTACCCAATGGCAACGCTAAGTTTGTTGTTTACCCTATAGGCGCTTTTATTACTATAGCTGTGCGGCGATTGTAGCATAGTTAAATAATATACTTGTTAAGCGTTCTATGTATGAAAACTTAAGCATAGTTCAGGGAATTTCGACAGTAAAATATTAACCAAAAACGTACTAAGCACAAAATTGCAATTTGAGTAATACTAGAGTAAACTTTCATTAAAAACTGAAAATTTTTATTAATGTCGGAATAAAATTTTTGCCTTAAGAATACATGACTTTATGAATGTAGTCTATTTTGTTAATCGCATCAAAAACACATCAGTCTTTTACAGCTATAAAAAGAAACAGCTGCCATGAAACAAAAACAAAACTGATTAAGTTAAATTTGTTCAGACTCCGCTAATTCGAAATCGATATCATTTGAAAAACTCTGCACTAATATTCACAGTTATTCTCCGTAAGTTTTTGTAAAAGGGTTTTGCATCCTCGGGAATAAAACATAACAAACATAATGTTTTCAGATCTGCCAACTTTTTACGCGATATTGCTTTTCCATTGGGTCATAATGTAGACAACTTTCCAAAATTTTTAGAAGTCTTCTTTTCCTTTTATGCATCAAAACTTCATTGTAGATCTCATTTTCGTGATTACTTTTCATTAAAATAGAAAGCGGTTTATTTTTTGTAAGTTTAATAACTCTTGTTTTCAAGCAACTAATTTTTTGTTCATGTATGCCTTCTATTTGTGACAATAGACTCTAAATCGGTTTCACTACAAAAATCTTTCTGCATAAACTAAACAATAAGTGGATTTTTCTTTCTACAATTTAACATAATATTGTCGTAATCTTGTGGTGTATATTCTCTGTTGGTATTTAAGGGCCAATTCAATGTCTCCAAAATCTTTGTCATTTGGTAAAAAACTATGTCCCGAAACAAAAAATTTCAAATAAATCGTTTCTTAAGTAGAATGTTGCTATAAAATTGATTTTAACATGAATACAGTTTTTATATTACTATTGTGTATTGTGACGCCCACAAGAGTCAGACCACAAAGTCAGTTCTGTTATATCCTTTTTGGTAAAATTTTCAATAGGTATTAAGCTCCTAAGACAAGATCCCACCTCTTGTGCGCCACGACCTATTTTTCTTTTTTTTCAAATAAAATAGTGTCCTTTCCTTGTTTTACCGGAGTAAATGCCCTAGTTATAAAGCCAAAATTGACGCTGATTAAACACTAAATTTGTAGGATAGTTAACAAGGAAACAAAGCACCTCACAACCAATTAAAAAAGTGTTGCGTTACTTGGTACCTTTTTGATTAAAAGATAATCCCAGATTTATTAAAGGAGCATAGTGCTACCTCAAATATTGGTATAAAAATAATTAAGACAAATAAGTTTTTGTAGTTAACATCGTTCATATATTGGTTCAGAAATAATAGCAAGTGGTGGCCGTTAACACTTTACCACTATGTCGCTGTGATCATTTCTTGGACTCCCATTTAGAGCATCGCTGATTAGGATAGTACACCCAACTGTTCATTAATTGTACGCCCTTTGAATATATTTTAACTATTGTTAGAATACACAAAAACATTTGCACTTTCGCACTATATAAATCTAAAGTGTGTTTTTCTGTTAGTCCACCACTTGTTGCTTTGTGTTGGTAACATAAAATTTCCAATATACATTTAGTAATTTTTGTACAGTGACAGTGGCAGAATTACAGACTGTTGATGACACCTCTGTTAAGTCAAAACAGAATTTTACGCAAGTGTCAAGAGATTCAAAATTTAAAAATGTCTCGCAAAAAAAAGTGGTACGTATCCAGGCCTGGGATAATGAAAGTCTTCCAAACACAGATTTTAATGTAAGAAAGCCAGAAGGTATCAAGTTTACAGATGTTGCAAAACCAGTGTTAACCTAACTTTGTTTTCCAAAATCCCTAGCCATGTTACCACTTATGTTATTGGGAGAAATTGAGACGTTGCTGGACTTTTAATAACAAAAACAACACGCTTTGCGTGTCCACTAGAGAGAAATACTTACTAATGCTGAAGTGGTTACGCAAAACTACATCCACCTGAGTTTAAAGAGCGACTTCCACAATACAAACAAGTATCGAAGTGCGAAGTGCAATCTCCGAAAAGTCTGCCTACATGTTTCACTGTAATAATATATATATATATATATATAATCAACTCCCATCTACCTTTCGGTGTAGGGTTACAAACTAAATAAATACATTGTAATTAAATTAATATTATTAGGTATTCCACTCTTCCCCGTGCACAAATTTACCCCACTCTTTCTTATTTCTTGCCATTTCTTTCGCTTCTATCCATGTTTTCCCTCTCTTGCGTAGACTTTTTTGTATTGTGTTGTTCCATGTCTCTTGGGGTCTTCCTCTGCTTCTTCTTCCTTGAACTTTTGCTTGCCATACTTGTTTAGCGGCTCTATCTGCATTCATTCTCTGTACATGTCCCCACCAACTTAATTGTTTGTTTTCTATTGCGTCCATCAGTTTTTTGCTTTGTAATTGTTCTCTTATTTGGCTACTTCTTATATGATCTCTTAACGTTACTCCTATGACTCGTCTTAGATATTTCATTTCGTTCGCTTCTAGTCTGCTTTTCATTTTTTGTGATAAAACCCACGTCTCGCATCCATACGTTAAAGTAGGTAGGTATATCGTTTTATATACACTCATTTTCGTTTTCTGGCTTATTTCCCTTTTGTTTATGAATGTGTTATTGATTGCGTAGTATAGTTTGTTACATTTTTCGATTCTTTCTGTATTATCTGCCTCTTGTCTCCCTGTATCGTCTATTGTTACCCCCAAATAGTTGAAATGTTTTACTTGTTCTAGCTTCCTTCCATTTATACTTATGTTTATTTGTTTTGTTTGCTTACCTATTGCCATTACTTTAGTTTTTTCTACATTTATTTTCATTTTCTTTTTAGTTAGTTCTTCATCCCATATACTTAAATTCCTTTGTAAGTCTCTTTCGCTTCCCGCGAATATTACTATATCGTCTGCAAATGCGCATTCGGATATGTAGACAGGTAGCATTTCCCTGTATCCTACGTGTAATCTCTTGACGTTGTTGCGGCAGTTCCTCATGATTTCATCAATGAATACTGTAAAGAGTGCTGGACTCATGACGCCTCCTTGTCTCAATCCCTCATATGTCTTGAATTCTTGTGATACATTGTTATTACTTACTACATAATTCCTGGTGTTTTTATATAAGCTTTTTATTACTTTTATCAGCTTTGGGTTAACGTCCCGCTTGTTTAAGGCGTTCCATACTTCTTCTCTCGGGACTTTGTCAAATGCCTTTTCCAAATCTATATATGCTAATAATATATCAGTTAATTGCAATGGTAGAACTCTGAAATACGGAATGGCAACACTATACTAAAGATGGTATAAAATCAACACCAGAGTTCTCGTGAGAGTTACTCTTGAGTGGATACGTAACTTTATATTATATCGAGAAAGCAATAAAAAAACGATCAAAAACAGCCATTGATTTTAAAGGTTTGTCTTTGATAGAATTTTCGTCTTGTAAGGTTAGCGTCGATTTGTTGTAATTGGAAAAATCTTAAATCTTTTCTATTTGTTGTAAAATATTTATTTTTACATTTATTTTCTAATTTTACACGCATTTTCATTTTTGTTCATTCCTCGAATTAATAGAAATGCATCTTCTTGTTAAAGTAGTTTTGTTTATAGAATATAATGAATAATGACAATCAGTTTATATTAAAACATTTATGTTAATTACACGAATCGTAATTTTGATTCCGATCACTCTTACAAAACATCAGACATGTGACATGTGTTAGGAAGAACATAATAGGTTGCGATTTCAGAAAATTTACATCGATTTTGGTGCACACAAATATGTGGATACAGTTGATATTTCGTTGTTTTGCTTCAAGAATTGAACTACTAAAACGAAATATTTTGAAACGTTTCATTATTTTGTTTCATTCACGATCTTTCTGCATAAGGGTCGACTATGGAAATTTGGCAGTTTTTTTTTAGTTTAAAAACGGTTTTAAAAGTGAGTATGAATTCATTCATTCAATATGACAAATGTAGAAACCGCGTTGCCAAAGTTAGATTGCCTTTATTGGATAGTAGGATAAACTTTGCCGTTAACGAATTTTTATCTTTTGTTAATTTATTTGATGTTTTATTACTCTGTTGAATATCATTAATATCATAGCTACAATTTATTTTTAATATATGTAGGTACAACACATCCAAAGCATGAACAAACCAAGCATAAAATTAGAATTTTTAGAGTTAGTATTTTTAAAACTTCTTCCAATTTTACTTAAGTTACCGTTGTGAATTTGATTGCATGATATATAACATCCAATTATGTTCTTTTTTAGCATATTTTTTAAATTTTGTCTTAGCGGAAAAGGTTAAAATTTGATAATAAAGGGGAGTAAACTTGGTGGCGGAGCTTAATTAGTGTAATTATTTTGAAAATCAGCGTTATTAAATGTTAACATAATAAAAAGGAAGTATTTAACTTTAAATCTAAGACAAGCTCAGTTCACTATTTTTCGTCCCCATTATTTCACTCGAAGCATCTAAGTCAGGATGTATAGGTGATCGTCATCATCAGATTCCGTTTTAGATTCTCCTAATGAAAGAATAAAGATATAAATACTTAAGCGAGATCCAAGTTTCTGTATCCTCTGATCCTAGAAAATTCTAGTCATATGTTCAATCCAAAAAGGGAATATGTATTACAATTCCAGGAGTTATGACATTCTCCGATAAAGAATTATCCATACCACACGAAATTGTTAACGCTTTAATGCTGAATTTTTTTTTAAAGTTCTTGTATTAACTCCGCTGCCATCAGCTACAGTATAATAAATTGCGAAGGCATAAATAGGTTGAATGTAGAAATTAATAACATATCTGAAGAAGAAATATTTTAAGCCTTAAACCACTCCAAGGACTCGCTTACAGCAAACAGACGAAATACCTAGTTTTCTACTAAAATATTGCGCCTCAATCTTTGTGTCTCCTTTATGGTATTTATTCAATTTTATTATTAAGTCCTCGTTGTTTCCCAATAAATGGAAAACGGTGTCTGACATTTCCACGGCGGAGAATTATAGCCCTATTTGTTTGCTTTGCAATTTTTCCAAAATATTGAGTCGCTTTGTTTACAAGCGTATTTATTTTACCGTTAACTCTCTATACATCTTATCAGCGTGGTTTTGTTGAGAAGGGGTTCACGGTTACAAATCTTGCATGCTTCAATCAATATGTTTCCGGCTCCTTAGACAACAATTGTCAAGTAGATGCCATATATATTGATTTTAGTAAGGCATTCGACCAAATTAATTACCACATCTTAATTAATAAATTAAATTCTGGCTTTTCGCAAACGTTATTGAAATTATTTCAATCCTATTTAGTGAACAGAGAACTTTGTGTGAAATGTTGTAATTATGTTTCTAAGGCGCTTTCTCTATCTTCAGGTGTCCCACAAGGATCAAATCTGAGACCTCTGCTTTTCCTGCTTTATGTTGATGACGTGAACCTGCTGTCATGTGAGAACTTGCTTTTCGCTGATGACCTCAAACTTTTCCTTAAAATAAATTCTGTCTCTGCAGTCACTTATAAAACAATTTAAATATACTAATTAACTGGGGCCAAAAAAATCAAACCTCCCATACTCAAGAAAAGAGAACAATACTCGTATGACGTATAACTACTGGATAGACGAAAGTGTTATATCGCGATTGGGCAAATTCAAAGATTTAGGTGTAATTTTTGATAGCAAATTTATTTTTAGCGAATATATATCTTATTGTGTTGCGAAAACCCAAAAAATGTTTGGCTTTATTTACCGCACTTGACGCAAATTTACTAATATTCCAGTTTTATTAACTTTACATTACTCGTTGGTTCGATCAAAACTTGAATTTGCAGCGGTACCCATTTATTCGATCTATATACAGCAACTTGAGTCAGTTCAACGCAAATTTCTTAAATTTTTGTCATACCTAATGGATGGTACATATCCTCAAGAAAGATATGATCACGGTATGTTAGTTAACAGATTTAAGTGTCGATTACTCAATACCAGACGGACCATAATTAGTATTCAATTATTATATAGCATAGTGAATAATAGTTGACTGTCCTCCTTTGTTAGAAAAAAAAAAAAAATTAATACTTAGATTAAGCGCTCGAAACAATTTAATGTTTTATTGTAGCTATTGGAGAACTAACATGTTGATAAGATCGCCAATAGTACTTATATGCAGCAATTTTAATTTGATTGGTGGAATGTGTGACATCAACAGGGACTTTTAAAACAATTTCCAATGTTATGGTTCATTATCTAGAAAACTAATTGAGTTGTTTTTTATTATGAATCATCTATTATTATGATTATTTACATCAAAGAACTATGCGTAGCTTATAAGTTTTGTTTTGTATATACATGCATGTAATAACTAATACCTAACACTACAATCCCTTTCGGTTTTCCTGTAAGTGGGTGTTTGACGTGTAGGAAATAAATAAATCTATTATTATTATAAAAGGAGGAATATTTTCGAACAGTAAATTTCTCATATGTTTTTTCCAGTCGGCCAAAATAAGTTCTTCAGTATGCTTACAAAAATTTGCCATTTCTCAGGGGTACAACTAGAGATGGCTGCAAGCCTTAGATTTGCTACCATGTCGAGTGATTTAGGTCGTGAATTTATATTCTTGCTGTAGAAATTCTTATAAAATGTCATTTCAATAGCATTGTATTGACCATGCTATAGGGGTAATCTAAGATTTTTTTTGCACGAGGATATAAGAGGTTTGTTCAGCTGCACCGACCGGGACACATCTTCGCTGTAGCCTGTTCAAACCACGAATAAGCTTATTTTTTTAAATTAATGAAAAATTCATATCCAAATTGCGTTAAATACATATTCTGTTGTGTAACAAGAGACCAAGAATTCCAAGAAATATGGATCCTGTTCGATGATCACAAATGTTGCTTATCGACGATTAAAGCTGAGACTGACATATGAAAACCACAAGCATTTCAGATAACGATTTATTTAGATACACATACAACTTCACTGATTTATGTTGACATGATAAAAATGAGAACTACTCGGAGTGTGAATGAGAGAGAACGCTCTCGTTTTCAGGGTGGTCGCTCCGTCCTTTACAAGTCTAGGGATTCCTGAACACAATCATATCAATAATTTGACCCAATTGATTTCTTCGTAGTGTTCTTATAGTGCAAATTGTTGCTACTCTAACTGAAAGCAGAAGTATTCATTATGATTTCACTCAGAAATATATGGTTGGAGATTTATAATATTCTCCACACAGCCTGACTTCAGGTTGATGATAGCTGGATATTTGCATATATTCTATGTTTTGTTTCAGTTCATGAAGACAGTGAAGACAGCAATGCCAGCCTAAAATGCGTCAATTTTGTTTCTACAACATACGAAAACTATTCTGACTGGATTGTTAGTTTGACAATTCCTGAACCAAAGGATGACAAATTTATTCCAATGTATCCTAAGCAAAAGGTATATGCTGAAATCAGCACCGAATATAGTTTAGAGGAATTACGTTCTCTGAGATATCTATGCAATGAAAAGAAACCAGTGATTCCCATCAGTGAAACTAATAAGGCGGTTCAATCAATTGTTGAGGACACGCAAAATACGGTAAGTTAACTAACTTTATTAAAACTATTCAATAGAGTAATGCCAACACGCCTTTGGACTTAACCTTCTGAAAATGATTTAGTAAAGATTATTATTTACTTTAAACATCAGTAACTAGATACTATCGATTAAACAGTACAGCCCTCGATCACCCTGTTTTTTATATTGTTTATTGAAGGGATAAAATTTCTAAAATCCTAAAGTATCTTTAAGCATTACAATTTCAGTTTCAGCATTTGACTTTTGGAATTTAATTACGACCCTTTTTACTCAATATTTCCAACCACTTGAAGGTTATTTCGACAGAACTTCCCTCGCTCCTGAAGTGCAACTTATTCAACGTTTTCGAAAATTTGTAAAATTTGGTTTTATACGTCTGCTGTTCATTTCCACAGTAATGTGGTGTTATGTAAAGTTTGTCTAAACTTATAAGCAAACGCGGTCAATTACTTTATGAGGGGTATTTGCTATCCCACACTAACTTGCAATAAAATCATTTCCCAAGTAGTGTTTTTCTATCACTGTCTAATTGAGCCGGATTTAAAATCTTCTGTGAAAATTACAGCTACACAGGGTCTTCATCCGAAGGAGGGTCAGAAAATTATAAAACATCTCGTAAAATAATTGAAGGCTTGTGATTATAAGTTTAGACAAACTTTATCTGAGATGCTCTGAATCAGTTCTTCCCGGTTGTGGGGCAAAATTCTATTATTAATTTCTTTTCTCCATATACCTATTTTCATTCATCAGTTATTTCATGTTAATGAAGAACTAATCCGTCTTTATTATAAATTAATTCCGTTAATATAGGTTCAAAAATAAAAAAGTTATTCTAGGTGCCCCCTTCCAGCTAACACACCCTGTACATTTAGTTAGGCAAAACAAATCTAAAGTTGTTTGAAAGTTGTTGTCCGGCATAGTATCTCCCTTTAATTGAAAAGTGAAATTGAGTAAGAAAGTCTATTTCGCAGTTTCGTCATTGCGGTTCTGGCATCTCAGCTACGAGGCATCAAATGCATCGTAGCTGAGTGGGTTCGCTGATGGGTTCTCGGGTAGGTTCGAATCCCATCCCTACCGAATATTTTTTTACTCTGTGACTGATATTAGCTATATTTTGTTACCTAAATGGCGATAATGCTCGTCGAAACTGTGCACTTGAGACTGAAACAGAAACTAAACTAAACTATATTTTTTACGAATTGCAATAACCGGATCACAATGGGTGGTCCAGACTTTTTTATTGCTTCGACTTCCTCTTATTAAATATAAAATTGCATTTTATTTTGATTTTCGATATTGTAATTCACATTTGGTTAATTAGGTCAAGGGGAGTTAAACATTTCTCTAGGGGAGACTGAGCATCCTCTGGCTTCCCCTTAGCTACGGTCCTATCTAGGGGTCATGAAACGTCAAGAAAATACGAGAGTATCAACTCCCCCGATAGACTCGATTGCTATACTTCTTTAGTTTACGCTCAATAAGTAAAAATGTCCTTTCAGCAATAATACGTCGGAAGAATGTCACGTAGAAATTAGTCCAGAAAAGGTTAATAATGGACCAAAAAAACAACAGCACACTATCTCGTCTTTATTGTTGTTTTCCTGCAAAGCGCGCCGTACATAATGATTCAACGGTTTTCCCTTCCGATCGTCCGGACGATAACGCATTGAGCGCGTGATGGGAGTAGCATCGCCCGCATTCTTTTTGAATTCGTAACAGTCGGCTATGCTACCCTCATCGGCGCCTCTACAGGCGGCTGTTGTTACACTGGAAAAGAAAGCCATAAATAATAAATTAAGAAAATGAAATAATAATACAGTAGTACTGAGTCTGAATTATCACTATCTCTGTTAGTACGGAGATAATCCAGCTCACCACTCAATGAGTCTGCTCATCACTCATTAACTCAGAACTATCACTGCCTTGTTCCGTTTGTAACAATTTCAATAGTCCACAGCACACACACCTTTGTATGGCTAATGTAATCGATACGATTCTGGAAGCTCTTCAATACAATACCTGTCAATGAGTAGTTTCTTCGTGATCACAAATCGACCTTTATACTTGGGTATAACTTTTCTACTTTCACCATCATTACCTAGTGCTGGTGAACGAATTAGTACACGTTCGCCTACCAAATATTCCCGTAGTTTACTTCGTTTCTTATCGAACCTTACCTTTTGTTTAATTTGATCGTTTTTCGTTCTTTCTGATGCCTCTGCTCGCAGTGCATCTAACGAAACTGGGCCCTCACTTATGTCCAGTACATTTTTAATAAATGCCTCACCAACCCCTCTTGGTCGGTAACCAAGAAATAACTCATAGACACATTTGCCTGTAGCACTGTTGATGGTAGTGTTTAATGCAAATCTCACTTTAGGAGCCACTTTGTCCCATTCTTCCTCGTCAGTTATGGAAGTAGAGATTTCACTAAGAATCGTTTGATTACATTTTCCCACTTGGCCATTTGCCCAGAGTCACTGTAGCATTATGAATCATTTGAAATCCTCTATTTCTAGCATACTCCACAAACCGTTTGCTTGTGAACGTTGTATCACTCTCACAGACTATACGGCGTAGATCTCCGAAAGTTTCAATGATTTTATGTAGAAAATTGGTCACTGAACAGCCTTCAAAAATACGAATTTCGTAAACAGCTCTATCACGACCAACAAACAGGCATTCTTTCTTCAAGTACTAACAAAGGATCCTAGGTGATCCCCATGCAGTGTTTCCATAGTTTTGTTACTCCTTATCGCTTGACGTCCGTTTAAGCACCTTATTTAAGTAGGAACATCGATTGTCTTTTAATTGGACAGCTAAAAAACATGTACGTTCCCATATGAAACTGGATTCCGACTGAGTGCAACTACATGAGTCATTTTAGTACCTGGCCTATAATCCACAGTAAAGTCGTGTTCCTGTATCCCTAACCACCATCTTCCGACTCGTGGTAAAAGATCTCGTTTATTCGTGGTAGTTCAAAACGTATTGCAATCAGTTATAACTGTAAACTTTACCCCAATTAGGTAATTCCTGAAATGTTTCAAAGAAATTACCACAGCTCATCAGAATGGTACCGTTCCTCTTCTTTGGTAGTTTGTCGGCTACAATACTGGACATGATGCATTTGTTTATCCGACTGCCTGTGCATTAACATCCCGCCAAGGCTCGTTTTTGATGGATCGGTATGCACTTCAGTTTCGTTAGTTTATACAATGCTAGAATTGGTCGATTTACCAATCGTAATTTCAATTCGTCAAACGCTTTTCGTCGGCTTTCGCACCACACAAATGGTGTATTTTTCCTTGTTAACTAAGTCAGTGATCTTGCCATTACAACAAATCCTTCGATATATGCATTTGCGTAATTAATTAGCCAACCCAATGAAGTGTTTGTTCTCGTGTACATTTTTTGGGATCGGAAACTCTTCAACGCCTTAATTTTGCTTGAACCAGGTCCAGTGCTATTTTTGTTGACTTCATGACGCAAATACTGTATTTGTCGTTAAAAAACTTACATTTAATCAATTTCAAATTAAGTCCAATATGCATAAATGCTTACAATACATTTCGTTGAGCAGTTAATCTGCTCTGGAGATCTGAAGACGGTATATATGTATATATATCCTCCATATACTGATGCCAGTACTTCATAAATTCTATTCAATTTATTTTATCCAATGAAAAAAAAGATGTGCCGACCGCCGGTTCCAACTCGTCGACTCTCGGTCTGTGAAGCAGACATTGTACCACTGAGTCACACCTGGTTCAACAGAGATTTGTACTATCTTCGTAAAGAACAAAGCGGTTTAAAAAATAAAAAAGTATAGTAATAATAAACAAAATCAAGATGGACAAGTACAGGAGTATATTATCTCATACAATTTCATAAGATTGTTGGTAGGGATGATTATCCAAATTTTGGTTATCTGTCTAATAAAAATCCGGACGGAAAACGCGAGACCCATTTTTTCGTACTCTAGGGGTCATGAAACGTCAAAAAAACGTTAAAGTAGAGAGTTGGTGGATGGACTCGATTACAATACTTCCTTCGTTTACGCTCGGGTAAACGTTACTATTTTTGAAGTATAAAAACCAGCGATGGTACAAAAATTATTTAGAGACTCGTAGCGCAATCATACTTTCTTTTTGATTGAAATGGCAAAATAAATGATTTTAAATAAGAATTAATAAATAAAGATCACATAGAGTTACCGTTGAAAATAATTTAATTTGCAATTTTAATTGATAATTCTGAGGGATACTTAAGGCTGTTGCGGGAAAGTCTAGTACCGAAACTTACAGGATTGTTTCCCGTTTACTAAAATCCGGAGTTACCAGCAGAAACTATTTGATTTCAGCAAGACGGTGCTCCACCCCATTTTGAACGTCAAGTGTGACATTATTTAAATGAAACTTTTCCTGGCAGATGAATAGGCTGAAGGGGTACTATTGAGTGGCCTGCCAGGTCACCGAATTTGACATCGCTTGACTTTTTTTTGTTGGGCTATTAGAAGAATCGCTTTTATATCAATAGACCGATTCACATTGAAGACTTACAGGAATGTATACGTAGGGAAACTGCTACCATTCATCCAGAAATTCTCATTAACTCACTACAAAATTTTATGGAGAGCATTTTGAGCATCTTTTGTAGAAATCAGAACTTTAATTTTGGTTTCGGTTGTTATTGGTTAATTTATTTATTGTTTAAATTAATTAAAGTTAATAATTATTAATTTATTTAATTATTGTTTAACAATTTATTTTGCCATTTCAATCAGAAAGAAAGTATGATTCTGCTATATCAATGAACTAGCCGACCCGGCAAAGGTTGTTTTGGCATTTCTAGTGAATATTTTGGTAGTTAAATAAAAAATTAAATCAAAATAAATGCATATAAATATAATTAAATTATAAATTATACATACAAATTTATCGTACGACATTGATTATATTCAATAGCCATCTTGCAACGCTATTGCGCATCCGTGGATGAAGTAAAGATACTCATATAGTTATTAAAAAATGGCGGTTGGTGGTAGAAGGGTGAAAATTTAGGGTTATATGTATTTTTTGATGCAAAATCTTAAAAAAATAAAAATAAAAAATTTTGTCAAAAAAATTAAACAAAAAATTTCTTGGGTGGGCCACCCTTATCATTTAGGGGTATAAAAAATAGTTTACGACCTATTATCAGACCTACCGAATATACACAAAAAATTTCATAAAAATCGGTCAAGCCGTTTCGGAGGAGCTTGGTTACAAACACTGTGACACGAGAATTTTATATTAGATTATTTTAGAACAAATTTCATTACCATAAAAAAGGTTATACTGAGTCGACATCACGGCTGTAGAATATAAGGTTGGTACACTAAGGGAAATTTGGTGGAATAGAATATGGTGGTCCTAGACGGCTTTGGCGCGCGTTAGATCGTTTCGCCATCTGTGAATTACGATTACACACTAACATCTTTATGAATGAAATTTTCCACTACTGCAATGGCAAATTGACAACTGACAGGTTGCCAAAACTGTCATTCTACTTCTAGTTGATGTATTATGATAGAAATTACTGTTTAAATTGGTTTAACGAGATCGGCAACTCAGAGAGGAACGTACATTTATACATAACAAACCTCGGCAACCGCAGGTTTGTTCGATATTTCTAGCACTATTGTTTCATGTAAACAATCATTAAACAAGCATGTGCGATGACCAGATAAACACAGATTCCTTCGAAAAACAAGTTGACAATGTACTGGTTAAGAACTTTTCGGTAATTGATTACATTAGCCACCGCGATTTTGCCGAATCCGCCCCCACAAAAACCTCATACAACACCCCTGATCACGTTCCTACCTAACCTTCAAATGTTGTACAAACATTTCTCATAACATTTGAAGAGTAGGAACGCGTTCAGGGCAGGGGCGTTGTATGAGGGTTCTGCAAAAACGGTTTCAGAGAAGTCGCATAGTAGCTAGTGTAAACAATGGTCAAAGACGCTTCCAAAAGATTGAACGTTTAACATAAAAATTATTATTAAATGCTTTGATTAAATGTCAAAGTTGTCATTTATGTCGGTATAATCGTGTCCTTTTGATGTGGCAAAAATTAATGCCGCTAAATACCGTAAGAGGGACCCATTTGACAACGCGCGTCATGGCCAACTGGTACGGAAAGAAATTATTCCACCTACCGGAACGGGAATGAATGAAAGATACTGAACCTATCTATTCTACAGCCGTGGTCGACATTAAAAGATAGACATATGCTGTCGCGGACTTTTTTTTAGAACTTTAGAGGGGATCAATCCCATCATACATTATTTTTACGTAACTTTAACCGTTTAATCAGTGTAAGCAACGGAAGCTGGGAAAGGAGGAATAATTTTCCTGTTTTCCGATATTTTTCATTGCTGCTCCGCTCCTATTGATCGTAGCAGTCATATAGCCTATAGCCTTCCTCGATAAATGGACTATCCAACACAAAAAGATTTTTTGAATTCGAACCAGTAGTTTCTGAGACTAGCGCGTTCAACCAAACAAACTCTTCAGATTTGTAATACAAGAAAGTATAGATTAATAAAAAAAACTATTCAAAAATACATTAATCAACAAATCAAGGTAGCCTTGCATCTCGAAAACAAATGACGCAAAAAAATTTTTTTTGATGAACAATTAAAAGCCATTAGAGCACAACTTTTTGTACCGCTATACTTAATTTCAGGTGATTGTACAATTGGTTTTCTAGACATTTTACCGTTTCTGTACATTCTAACGACCCGGTATATGTTAGACTCGTATGTGGTTCAATAAAAGGTAGATCTCAATTTCTGTAATGCGGCAGACTTTAAAAAGGGATGTAATTAATTTCAAATAAAAGTCATATACAGTAATTATTATGGAAAATATATGTGTTACATGTTAACTTCTTATGTATAAACTTAGTTTTATTGTATTGCAAAGAAGTTCGGATTTTTTTTGTAGTGATTTGTTATTGTCTTTTGTGTAGGATGAAAAAAGTGAACAAATTTTGAATCAAAGCATATTTCAAGAATGTGAACACATAAATAGTTTCTCAACTGTATCAACATCTAGTGAAGAGCATCGAATAAAGGAAACTAATTTGTTATCAAGAAACGCTTGTGATCAAAACTCACCAGATAATCTAGATGATTCTGCTTCCGAAAATATTATTGAGGGTCTGAACTTCGACTTATGGAATTCCTTCAAAGCAGAATCATTGTACACTTCAACGACCCACTTTCCAAAGTCTACCGCACCTAAATTTTCTATTTATGAACAATCAAACGTGGCTTTGCAACATTATTTGGAGCCAAAAGGTACGTAATAGCGTCTAAGATTGTAGTAGTCTATATTTTTTATTGGTTGTCCTTGCGTTTGCATCTACAACATAAACTGTATTATGTAGTTCTAAAACTGTATTAAAATCGTTTTACAATATCGATCGACCACAAAACTAGTTTCCCCAAGAAGGCAGTTTGTACAATCGTGAATTTTCAGAATATTTTAGTATATTTTTGTAAATTAAAAAACTGAATCCGTATTGTATTTGTTATCTGAAAAATAAAAAGGTCAATTCCCGTTACTAACACAACGATATATTGGTGTATTTTGATGATGGAAGGAGAATGCCGTAGAAGGAGTATAAGTTTGAAAACACGGCCCTCCTATCAAAGAGTTTACGGTTGTATAAATTCGTACACAGTATAGAGATCATTCAGTAGGGACAACTCGTGTTTTGTTGTTTTTTTTTCGGGCCTTTGATGTTTCTGGCCCGAATTTTAAGCTGTCATCGGTGGTCGTTTTCTAAACTATTTCTAGATGTCACCCAATTTAAAAAGTATCACAGTCGCTTTAATTGAAAATTTAAAAATTGATTCGTGTACGCTATTTACCACACACTACTTTGCTCAAATCTTAATATCATGAATCGCAAAAAGAAAAGAAATCTATCTTTAATCTATAAACGTGATGATTAGTTTCAGATTTAAATTTATTACTCGCACAATTCACGCATTCTTAGGATACTTGTAGTTTTGTGATGAATATCAAAATAAAGTAATAAAGATTTGACCCAAGAAGGCCTTTTTTTCTGCTCTCAATGTCAGTTTCTCAATACGGTAGCACACCTTCTCACTGGCTGTCCCAAGTTTAGCCATCACCGTCGTGATGCCGAAGCCTGCTTATTAGTTTATACTTGAAAAGAAAACATATATGTAATTCTATTTAAAAACTGAAGTTTATCTCAAGGTCCTCCTCACTTTCATTTCAGTTGAATCTTGAAATGCCACGATCTAATTTTTGATACCATAATTTGTTTCCTCGTTCAATTAAAATTCTACAATTTTCTTCGGGTTTTTACACGATTGGCTTGCTGGAAAAGTAAACAGCATCGTTGAATATTTAAAAATCGTGAACATTTATTAAAAAAAAACAATTAACGTTTGGGTTTTGTGTAAATTTTTGAGACACTTCTTTTTGTGCTTATTTAGTTGTTAAAATAATATGTATATTTTTTTTACATGGTGTTTCGGAAAGTGTGGGGCAAAATTTGGACATCACTTCTTGGGTTAAAACGGAAGAAAAAATTTGAAACAATTTTTTTTTCTAACATCATTCCTTCTCATTCTGTAGCTCTTTGAAGTGAAACATTTACCTGCATTTAGGATGAGTACCCATTATCTGAATTTTTTTAATTCTAAAGCAATGAAAAAATTTAACTTATTTATATCATTACGTCTGGGGTCCTTGACAGCAAAAATTTTGTTGAGCGTTAAAAACAAGAATCGGTAAATGCGTATTGTGGTTCATATTTTCGGTTTTACCATCATAACCAAGTCCATGACATATCCAACATTAACAAATACAGAAAAATAATTACGTGTATTGACAACTACAAAGTAGAATTTTTGTCTGTCATAAAGCCTAGATGTAATGAAATAATCTTACATTTTTCATTGCCATGAATTTACAAAATTTAGATAACAAAACTCGCTCAATAATGAAGAAAGTGTTAAATTCCAAAGAGTTGCAGTATGAAAAAGGAATAATATTTAGTAAAAGTTACTTAAACTTCTTTTGTCAATATTAACGGCCGAATTTCCACCTGCAATGTTAACTGGAAAAAATCGTGATGTGGATGTTCTTCCAGACTCAGAATGGCTCTCTTATATATTCAGATCGAATTAAAATAATGATACTACAATAATTGCGAAATGAAAAGTCGCTAAATTGTGAGATTTACGATTTTTTAAATAAAATTTGAAGTTGTTAGGCAATCATGTGCTAACGTTATATGACTCAAAAACTATAAATACTACAGAAATCTGGTTTTTCACATAGTTTTTGTCTTTTTTTTATAATTTTATCCTGTTAACTATTTTGTATGTGTAGGCAGTGCCATGAAAACCCCATTTAAGGACTTGAATGCTGAAGAACTTGCTGAAACTGGATCTAGAGGTGGAATGGATATAGCAGCAGCAGCTCCAGTGGATAGCGCCAAAAGATTGCCAATTTATGATGATGATAGCAGCTCATCGTTTGATAAAGTTATGGAACCAGGAAATTTTGAAGATCTCACTTGTAATACTCAAATGTTTTGTTTCAACTTGAATGTAATGAAAGTTAGCACACCTCAAAACAAGCACCAAGAATATGTAGTCAAAAACGAGGATTCCTTTAAAAAAGCCCAGAAACAGTTATTTACAGAAACTTCCAAACCTGAAGATGACAAGTACAAGATTTTGTCGACGATTTTAGAAGAAACGAAAAATGGCGGGTAAGGATACACTTTTGACGATAATAATATTTTATGTGCATGCATGTCGCATCTTGTTGTCCAGAAGACGTTTCCAACATTGCATATGCATCTACGAATTTTTTTTTCAAATGTTATTACAAATTTTTCCATTGTATCCAGAGAAAAATACAGTTATCAAAATCTTGCACAAATCTACTTGCATATAATATTTCAGTAAATTAGAACAATTAATTGTAGCTATCTTCCCAAATTTAATAAACATATCATTGAATCAAGAAAAGCGAAAAAATGTTGTACAAGTGGGTTCAGTGTAAGGATGGTTTTAATCAGGTGGTACTGGTAACATACGCTGTAAGCTCTACTTTAAATCATTAATTGATCATCTCTCCTATTCTAGAAAAGACCGAAAACGCGGCACTAGGCACTTTTTTCAACTATCTTCCTTGCTCTTATTCTACCTCCATGATGTAGAAGTTATTACAAATAAAAGTCCGCAAAATTATTTTTTTTAATTTTTCAAAAAAGCGGGATTTGTTGGAGTGTACTTCAGAGACGAGGGAAGCCACCTTTTTTTGTTTAGAAAATGTTTAACAAAAAAAATAAATAAATAAAAAAAATAAATATGTAGTAATAAACAATCTGTATGCAAAAACTAATATTATTAGTATTTTAAACCTCTGTTTATCTATCCACATATTATTGTCATACAGAATTTAATTATATTTGCAAATTTTGTAATCTTTTGGGTTTGAAAAAATTTCAAGAAAATTGATATAGCTTGACAACCTCGTAAAGTGATTTCAGAAATAAGTATACTGTAATACTTTAAAGGAGAGGTTGGTCGAGGAATGTAAAAAGACTATGTATTGCAGATAATACTAAATTATGCCATTCGAAAAAGTCGTGCAACTTTCAGTACGGATCTCTAGTGTACATAGCTCCTAGACTTATTTAGCTAGATTAAGCCTAGGTTCTCTCGACGACTGCCCTAGCTAGAACAAATTAGGGCACAGTGTACACACACAGTTAGAACAGTCTAGCTAGGCCTCAGCCTAGCTAGACTGTTCTAACTGTAAAATCTAGTCTCAACAAATCTAGCTAGATTTTACTCTACAGTGTAAAGAGCGACGGCCGATAGAGAGCTCTAGCTGCTGTGTACAGTACCTAAACTACGGCTAGAGCGCTGTCTTAGGTCTAGGTAGTGTGGATTCCGTTCTATAAATTCAGGTCTTTTGGCCTTACACAAATGTACAGGATTAAAAAAATTTATGAAACTTTCAAAATATTCCATATTTTTGTCCATAAGTGTATATCAGAGAAAAATATGTTACAATTTATAGGAATTTGCTACTTTTAGTAGTGCACAACTTGTAATTGTTTTAACTAAATGAATACTAATATTGTTTAAATTATTAAAATAATTTTTACTTCACTTCCTAACTCAAAATGAGTTGAATGTGTGCTCGTCCGAAATGAGTGCAATTAGAATCAGATCGATATTTCATGAACCGGAATTAATGGCATGTCTAAATGGGCGAAGATAACTGCAAACTGGAGTTAAGGTGCCGGATTAGTAAATGCCCGACCTGGACAGGAGTTGAGGTTTGCCGCATAAAATATCTAGAGCGAAAATAATTAAATTCCAATGAAACGGTGAAAAATTATGGAAATCGATAAAAATAAATTTCCACATAATTCTTTTATACAGCACAGGTAACAAGAAAGTGATGAAAGGAAAATTAATTTTGACAACACTATTAGATAACCACTCTGACTTTGGGAAAATTCAAAAAGAAAGAGCACTGATTTTTAATATGTTGATTACATCTAACTAAAATATGCCAATAGCGTACTTGTTTGAAAGAAACAAAGTGATTTTTCTGTGGTTTAGCAGTAAGTGATGAGCATAGGGAACTATTCTAATTGAGTTAACCAAAAGCAATACAAAAAACATGCATAGGTTAGCTCCCGAAGCAAACAAAAAGTTAAAATTGTAGAACAGTAAATTCACATTATAAAACGTAATAAAGAAACGCCATTAGTAAATCCATTTTATGAAATAATTTTACAATTAAAGTGCAAGACTATGATGTGGTGTGCTTATAGAACGGGTTGGTGATATTTGAGACATATAATTAAAACTTTTTAAAGAACAAACAGTGCAAGCGAAAATTTTAGTATTAATTTTGTATATTTTTATTTTAGCCAAAGTTCAAGTTCCAGCTCCACTTCGAGCAATGCTACAAAGTCGTCCGCATTTGGCAGTCATACCAAACATTCTAACATGGCAACGATTTCTGAAGAACACAACAAATATTTGGCACAGAATCTTATGGTGAATGCAGCATTGCGGTCAAGTTCCTTAGGAAATTTGATGGATTTTAGCGATCATGCAAGCCCAATGGCGATGGTACAGAAAACATCTCTTGTAAATAAATCAGTGACTACCCCACCAGTACCAGCAAAAGTCATACCTCTCAATTTTGTACCTTCTGATCCATTTAGACAAAGCCTTATTGAAAAGTTACTTCAAAGAGTAAATTTTCCGGGATCACATACCCCTGGCTATTGTTGTTTACCTTACATTCCGAAACTATCGGTTCGTAAAGAATCTATCAATATAGGTCCAGATAGATATGTAATAGACAAACAGCTTGGAAAGGGAACCTATGGAACTGTTTTTAGAGCAATTGATGTTAGGACTGAAAACACGGTGGCAGTGAAAATACAAAAGCCCGCCAACAAGTGGGAATTTTACATTTGCAGAGAACTTCAAGCAAGATTAGTTAATAGTCCGCTCAGAGATAGGTTTATGGATGTATTAATTGGATACTTTAGTGAGTATGTTTGTTTTTTGTTGGTGTGTGGTGAATTTTTTTTTATTGTTCCAATATTTATCGCATGATCTTTTAAAATATGCACAGAAATAATTTGGCTTCTAAAAATATATACATATTTATACACATCGAAATTTCAGAAAAGGAAATTACAGTTAAGATCAGAGACTTTAAATATGTACATATTTAAAGTCTCTGGTTAAGACATGTAAAATTCTTGGCACACGTGACATGGGTATGGTTGTGCTTCAGAGGCAAGAAGTATAGCGTAAATCGCTTTTTTACATTTTAGATGACTGTCTAGAGTAACAACATAACATACTTATTTTATATTTCTTAGGTTTTGCATATCTGAAATTATCAATTAATAAAAATTGTGTCTTTATTATTTATTATATTGCAAAAATTTATTATGACAATTTATCGAAAAGTGTTCTAAATTGTTTAAGCTTTGGTAAAAAAATTGGTGAACATATCAAAATCTTCAACCATTTCTGTATTTATTTAGCTGCCATGTGAGAATGTTAGTTGTTACAGTTAATTGATTGCTAACTTCCTTTTTTGCAGGTGACCAGGCCTCAGTATTAATTTCAAAATTTATGCCATGTGGCTCGTTACTTGACGTCGCTAATCTCGTGAAACAGAAATCTGGACGTTCGATGAAAGAATCGTTGTGTATTCACTTCTGCTTGGAAATGTTGAAAGTTGTGCAGGCTATGCACGAAGTGAAAATAATCCATGCTGATATTAAGCCCGACAACTTTTTAGTTCAACTCCTAGCTAATGATGTAGTAGGTTTGCAACTGATTGACTTTGGTTGTAGTATCGATATGTCTTTATTTCCAATGGGAGCAAGTTTCACCCGAAAGGTGACGACAGAAGATTTTGTTTGCTGTGAAATGAGAGATAATAGACCTTGGAATTACCATACGGATTTGTATTGCATTGCCGCCACGGCACATGTTTTGTTATTTGAAAAATATATTCAACTGCAAAAAAAGGATGGACATTGGTCGATTTCAAGTAGACTTCCAAGATACGCAAGACTAGATTTGTGGAATATGTTTTTCAGCACTTTACTTAATCAGCAAGATGGACCGGCTGACTCGGTATCACTGCAAGCTATGTTAGAAGACAGTTTAAATCACAAATTCGATGATTATCACAATGAATTGCGGTATCTTATTAATATACTCAAAAATCGATAGCAGGTTTGGAAAACTTAGTTTGTGTGGCTTAAGGTTTAGTCTATAATTAATATTTAAAAAAAAATCAATTGAAGTTATTTATTAAAAAAAGTTAATGTAGATATTTTTTTAAGTTATTTTCAAAGGCTGTTTGTTTCAATCTTTATAACTCATTTTGTGTTATCAGTCTTCATTTTACACCAAAAACATGTAACACTTACTTTTTAAATTTTCAGCATGTTTACTAATTAAATATTTAAAAGATGAAACTTTTTTTATTAATTATTAAGCACAGAAACTGTAAGTTACCCAAAAATACACTGAGCCTTTAAGTTTGTTCAGTTTTATAAAACTGAATATAAAGGATATGGTAATTCTCCGTTCTTTAAAATTACCTGCAACTGATATTCAGCACATATTAAGTGTACATTTGCATCAAAATTAAATCGGATTTTTTTTTTGTAGTCTACTAGGTCATTTGTGAATTAGAAAAAGTGGTAAATGTGAGGCTTTGAGAATTGATTTCATTTTTGCAAAGTAGGGCTGAAATACACTCTTCGTTGATGCCCTGTAGTATCTAAGTTTTCTATATATATATAGGTATACTTGGTAACTTTGAGATCAATAACTCACTTGTTGACAATGTTCAAGTTTTGTGATATAGTTCCAATCGTGTTATCAGCCTACTATTGTTGGGTTATTAGCAAAGATATTGAAAAGGGATACGCATATATTATGCTATAGTGAAACCTCTCCACAACGGACACCTATGGGGAATCTCAAGAGCTTTCAAGACACGGAGTAAAGAAGGCACTAGATTTTAACATGTACATACCAACGGCGAATTTTTCTGAGTCTCCAAATGCTTAATTTAAACTTCTCGGCATTATAAGTTCATTCGCACTTGACAAACAAAAGCACCCCAGCTTTGCTATTTGGGAAAAACCCATATTTACTCGGTATTATGAGCAGTGAAGAGAGTTATGACCTGGTACCGAGAATCTATTGGCCTAATCTTTAAATTTTATTGTACGGTCTACTCTTGGGATCGCTTTACCTGTTACATGTCCGTTGTGGAGAGGTAATTTGACAAAGAAAAAAATGCGTCAATTTTACTGTCCGTGTCCGTTGTTGGGAGTGTCTGTTTTTTAGAGGATTCTTTACATTAAGGTCCGTTTGCGCTGTTTTCTAAATGACCCATTTTATATGTTGGGAGAGTGAAAATTGTCCGCTGTTGGGAGGTGTCCATTATAGGAGGTTTCACTGTAGTGTATCGACCTATCTAAATACTCTACGGTTGTGTAGTAGTCCCAGAGAGAGTGACTTCGTTTTTACGACCTGCAAACTCAAGTACCGCAAGCATTAGGAGCTTTTTGAAAAGTGTGACTAGCGGTGTTATAAATCATCTTAAAGTTTTCAAAAGCTCGAAATACAGGGCCGGATCCTCTTACATTCCCTGAAGATATGGATGTGGACAAAATCGGTTTATTGTAGAGGAACGTAACTCATCCACAAAAGGATGCAGTCGTAAGAACGAAGTCAATCTGGGACTATACTATACCATGACATCTATGACAACTTATTAATTTGTTTTTTTTTTCAACTGAAAAATTGCTCCAAAAATATTATTATTATTACCCCAGTAACATTTTATATGTAATAAATATTGAAGTTCTAACATTTAAATAATATGATTACCGATAATCACAATTCACAATAGGACAAACACCATGAACTTACACAAAACACTTTTTGAATCACCAACAATAACAGAAAATATGTATATGTTGCACATTGCGCAAACGCGTTCCAGCAGAGCAAGCGCATCTGTAGGTGAAACGCAAATTTAAGTGAGTTTTATAAAAATGATGAATAAAATTGTTATTTTTTTGTTCGCAAAAATAAAAAAAATATTACTTTTTAATGAGCAATTAATAGTGTGCAAAGCCAGATTTCGAATAGTGTCAATTTCACAATAGCTGGTATTTTTTCAAATCAATTTTTAATATTGCTCCAATAAAAATCCTATGAAATAAGTTACCTACAAGTTGTCCCAACATGGTACTTTTTTTTCATTTTTGTTGTTCGGTATCTTGATAAAAAGACATTTCATAAATATGTAATATATGTTGAAATTCATATATAAATTTATAAATATAAAATGAATATTATAAAAATATTTGTAATATCTAGTCAATATTTAATATTATAGCAATCTTGGATAAATATTAGAAAAATATTGCTTGCTACTGGGGTATGTCTATGGCGTTTTGTAAACGACGGGGCATAGAAGACTTACTATACATATTCCTATATGAACTTGGGAGTTACATTCTCCCAAGCTTGAACAATGCTTTGAGGAACACCGAAACATTTTCTACGGGTTTAAATCAGGGCTTTTGGACGGCCAAGGTAAAACATTTACTCCTTACTCCTCTCAATATTGTTGTACAATTTGGGTTTGATACATCGAACAGTTTTCCTGCATATTAACAAAATGATCCAAGGGTTATTAGAACTTCCCTTTCTCCTAAAGGACAGTCCAACAAATCCAAATTGTGGGCAAAATGGAAGTGGACATTTTATGAATCGCGATTTGTAAAATGCGTCGTCTTCGTTGAGAAAATGTAAAAGTAGGGACTCGGCCGACGGACTTGATTACAACACTTCCTTCATTTATGATTGGGAAGTAAAAATAGTGAATCAACGAAGACGACGGTAAAATGTTCAGGTATAACTTTCAACTGACAGAGTAGAGTAATTTACAGATATAATAGTATATTACATATCGAGGGTGGTAAAAAGCTAATTACGAACGAAGTTTACACACGAGCGAGCGTAGCGAGCGAGTGATGTAATATGAGTTCGTAATTAGCTTACCACCAGAGTTGTGTCATATACTTTTTCTACGATCTATAATGAAGAATCACTTTCAGAAGAATTTTTTTTGGGAAAGCAAATATTTATAGTTGCTATGGAAACTACCCAAACAGGCACGTAATATATATATATTACGTGCCTGTTCATTCATTACATGCCAGTGGGTGTAACTATGGTTTTACTATGAGGCTAGACAGTTCGTAATTCATGGATTACTATGTGGGGGTAGAAAAAAAAACTTACATTTAACCATGTTTACGTCATAAGGTGTTGCTTCACCAAAATTTTAGGTCACGAGCCGCAACTCTTGTAAATAATCAAAAATGAGTCGCCACATTATTGAAGGCAACTTGAATGGTGAAATGTACCAAGACATTTTGGAAAATGAACTGCCAACATTACTTGAAAACTCGAGGTTAGATTAGAAGTGCGACAGAACATGTGGTTTCAAAATGATGGTTGTCCAGCACACTATTCGATGGTAGCACGTTAAGTGCTTGATCATGATTTCAATGGTCACTGGATCGGTAGAGCTGGTCCGATAAATTGCCTGCCAGATTACCAGATCTTAGTTCGCCAGATTTCTCTTTATGGGGCTATCTCAAAGACAAAGTTTACAAACAAGAATTAACAACATGTGAGAATATGATGAGCGAATCAGAAATGCTTGTGCCGAAATTCAAGCAGACACATGTCTCTGAATGAATTCGAAGGCCATCATTTTGAGCACTTACTTTAATTGAAAGATGATAAGGCAAGGGGAGTCATGTAAATTAAGCACCCTGATAGGTGAGAGACGAGATAACTTACCTAAATCAAGCATCTTGAGAGGCGAGGGGACTCATCTAAATCAAGCACCCTGATACGTAAGAGGCAATCACATTAATCAAGCATTCCGAATGAAACAGAAAACTACTTCGTCCACACCGTTATTCCTGGGTTACGCTAAAGGTAAGTAGTTTATTCGCCAGCCATTTACATTTCTACAGGTAACAATTTTCAAGTTATTGGAAATTTGCAACATGAATAAACTTTTTTGACGACGAACTTCGAGTATTTACATAAAACGTGGCATTTTTTATTGCCAACGTATTGCAGAATCGTATGCATATGTTCACAGTAGGACAAATCGGAAAAGTTTGATTTCCGTAATACGTATTTTTAGCCGTAGACTCCGGATCTGCAATAAAAAACAGCAGTTCCCATTTAAGAATGGCTCCGTTTTCCCAAAAATTTAGGAATATAATGCCTTTATTATTAGTATTACACTGCATCTATCCAAAGTGATATATGTGTTCTTGCAAAAATGTTGATGTCATAATCACAAAATTGTATAACGTAAAAACTCAGTTCGAAAATGTTGTTTATTATTTTATTTTCTTTAATAAAATAGCAAACAGCATTTTCTAACTGAGTTTTTCGTTATACAAATTACTTAAATTAAATTAAACTCACGTTACGTTATACAAATTACTTAAATTAAATTCGTTTGAAACATACGGTTAGCACGCTTCTTTATATGTACTTTAACATAAAATACATATCATTATTTTAACTTGTCGGGGTTTCATAAAAAAATAAAATTCGCATAATCAGTATTTATAATTTTTTGAAAAAGGTGAATGTTTTATTGTGCTTCAGGCGCAAGGGAAGTTCTGTCGAAATAACTTTTGACCAATTTTTTTGTTTGTATATAACATCCCAATTAGTTTTAACGACACGCTTTATATTTTTTAGAGGTTCTTGTGGAACTTGTTTTTCTGAATTCATTAATGTATCGTACTTTAATCACTGTGGAGTGTCCTTATGATAGGAACCAAATTAACAATTGCTCCAAAAATATGAATGCATTGATAAAGGACAAGACTATGCTTGTTTGTATTGGTGAGTATTCCCATTTAAAAATGTTCCGATCAACATTATTTTAAGGACAATTCCGACACGTGCAATGTAATACATACTAATAATAAAACATTGGCGTGTACCGTTATGGAGCTGTGATCAATAAAAAAGTTGCGTAGATAGCAGTAACACTGCAAAAAACTAAAACCAAATAAACAGATACAGGTTGATTAAAAATTTACCATGCTTACAAAAACTTCAAAACGTTTGCAAGATTTTAAAGCATTCGGGTTTGCAGTATGCAGTTTCTGATGTAATCAATAAAATAAATTCATTCGACCATTCATTTTTTTAAGTTACTCTGTGTAAGCAAATTTGAAAATGAATGGATGATAAATCACGAGTATAGATTCATCATATTTTGCACATTTTAGATACGATTTATTCGGCAAAAATTTGTGGTTACGTCATCAATTTTTGGGGGGATTTTGATTAAAAAATTAACCATGCATATGATAACTTTAAAACATCTGCAAAATTTCAGAGC